TCTCATCAAGACGAATCGAATGGCGGTAAGATCATCTCTCTACGATTAATATTGGCGAAGTTACGATACAATAAAGTTTTAAGTATAATTCTGGCTAAAATTATGTTAATTTTTGGCCGGAATTATGATATACAAATATAAGAAATTTTTTATATAGTCACATCTCTTTATAATCACCAAATATGGACTGTCCCAAATGTGTGACTATAAAGAGAGTTGACTGTATTTAATTTATTTAAATTTAGTTAAATTTGAGTTTTTATTACATTTTATTATTTTATCAGTAGTAGCGTAGTGCTATATTTTTACCAATTATCATGTTACACTGTTACTTTATTAAGATAAATAATCAAATAATCTTTTTTTTTCGTTCACTTTATTTCATTTTTTTTCATTGATAATTATGGCAAATATAAGTAGTTCTTCCTTTTCATCTTTTGAAGATAGTGAATATGACGAGTCCTTTCTTTATGATAATTTTGTAGAACGTGAGGATTTTAGTATTAGTTTTGATAGTATAGAAAATATTAGTAAAACGGAAGAAATAGCAGATAATGAAGAAGTGCAAACTAGATTAATTTCAGATGTATGGAAGTATTTTACACGAAAAGAACAAGTAAAAGTAAATCAAAATGGAGGTGAAGAAATTGAAAAATTTATTCTTTGTAATGTAGGACAATGTTATCTTTCAGGAAAAAATTCCACATCCACTCTCGAGCGCCATTTAAAGGCGAGGCATCATGATGCATATATAGAGTTACATGAATAGAAAACTGTTACACTAGAATCCTGGTCAACACAAAAACATGTATTTTTGGCTAATTGGGTCATTGATGATCAACAACCGTTCACTATTGTTGAAACTCCAAGTTTTGTCAAATATATCTCAGCTATTCAACCTAGGCATCACGGCATACTTTGAAAGAAATGATATTATCAAAATTTAAAGATAGTCGGGAAGAAATTTGTAGTTACCTTCAGCAATCCACTTCTAAAATTTCTCTTACTATGGATATGTGAACATCCATAAGTGCGTTAGGTATTTCAGCTATAACAGTACATTTCATAAATAATAATTGGCAATTTGAGCATTTTGTTTTAGATGTTCTATATATCCCTTCTCCATATGATGCATTAACAATTAAAAATACAGTTTTGGAGATAGTAAATGAATTTTAAGTGGCAAATCGGTTAATAGGAATCACTACTGATAATAAGGCTAAAATGGTTGCAGCAACACGTCAAATTGAAGAAAGTCTTGAATTGCAAACTTTTAACCATTATCGTTGTATAGCCCATATACTGAATTTAATTGTTAAAGCAGCACTTGATACAGATATTATACCCTTACCCATTAAAAAATTACATGCTTTTATCAGTACAATTAGAAATTCTCCAAAGCAAATGGATAAATTAAAAGAATATTTCAGAGTTGAAGATATAAAATTTAAAGCACCACTTCCTGATATTATAACAAGATGGAATTATACCTTTTATATGATTGAAAGAGCATTAGAAATTAAGCCTATTCTATTACATATAGTTTCAAATCTTCCAACTTTGACAAGTAATTGGCCAACTGATGAGGAATGGGTGATTCTTACTGATTTATTAGATTTGTTAGCACCATTTGCTTTAATGACTAAAATTATATTTGCTGCTAGCTATCCTACAATTGGTGAAGTCAAATGGCTTCTTTTAGGAATTAAACATCACTTAGAACGAACTCAAAGTAGTAATTATTCTTTATTGCTTCAAGTGAATGCAATGAAACGTGTTTTTGATAATTACTTTGAACAAATTAATAATTTGCTTCATATTCTGGCATTCTTTGACCCATGTTACAAAAAAAAAGCTTATGGAAATATATTTCAAGAAAGTATACTTCAACCAATTAGAATTGCAATGGCTGATTATTATGAAGAATCATCTACACCTACTGTTTCTGAAGATAGAACTATAGAAGATCTATGATTCCAACTTAATAATATGACTACATCAGAAACACGAAATTATTTTCAAAATCTTTTTATGCCCATTCAAAATCAGCAGCAATCTGTTAGTACAAATGAATTAGATAATTATTTTAATTCTAATTCTCCTAGTGATGAAGTGATGCCAATGGAATGGTGAAGGATACATGCAATTGAGTACCCAAAATTATCCAAAATGGCAAAAGACTATTTGTTCATAATGTCAACATCTGTTTCCTGCAAGCAGTTCTTCTCAGTCGCTGGAAAACAGATAACTCAAACACGAAATAGATTGCATCCAGATACAACATGAGCATGCTTATGCTTAAAATCATAGTTAGAACAAGAAAAAATCAAATTTTGAATGTATACTTTATTGGTTTAGATATAAAATGAACAATATTAGTTAGTTTATAACAAATTCAGTTGTATATCAATATATTAAAACTATCAATAAAGACATATGTTAAATATAATTAATAATTACTATCTAACTAATAAGCTTTGATATTTTATGATAAAATTAAAATAAATAATGATAAATTATTATGATAATAATAAAATATTTCATGGTCTTTTAAAGACTGCAGTCCTAAAAAGACTGTCGGTCTTATTGCTATTTATAAAAACCATTTAGGACCATAAGAGTTTGCAGTCTTATTGGTCCGGTCTTTTCAGTCTTAAGACTGAAAAGACCATAAGTCCTGAGCTGAGAAGACCATCTTTAGATGTTGTGTAATATTCCATCTGATATGGAAGATTTATTTTATCATGAACATGTTAACATTGGCTTAAAAGATCCAATTTTTGAACCAAGCATCATGCTACAGAATTATGTGATATACTTATAAATTCACAACAATGGCATCCCTATTTGTTAGTTTTTACAGATAGTGGTAGTGATCATCAGTTAAGATTTCTCAGAGTTCAACTTTTATGGATATATTTATTTATAGTGTTAGGTTTAGATTACTTTGTAGTAGTTAGAACTCCTCCCAGACATTCTTGGAAAAATCCTGTGGAAAGGATTATATCCATTTTAAATCTAGGTTTACAATCAGTAGGATTGATGTGTTAAAAGATGGAGCAGGAAGATTTAATTGAAAGTTGCAATACTATGGAAGCGATATATGAAGCTGGACAAAATAAAAAAAAAGTGTTAAAATGAAACTTGCAACCCACCATTGATTTAGTTAATTCAATTTTTCAATATTAATCACTAAAAGATAAGCCATTTAAAACATTCGAAGCTGCAACAGAACAGGAGATTGACAATTTGTGGGAATCAATTTTACATTGGATCCTGATTTAAATAAAGATACTACTAGATAATTTAAACATGTTAAAAATATGGTAAAATATTTAATTTATTGAATTTATTGACATATTGAAACAAAATAAGAATTTTATGGAGTATGAATATTAATTTTATTAACATTTTATACAGACGAAATTTAATGAATTTTATGACCACTGCTGTCAAAAATTAAAAAGTGTGGCAATGAGTTTGTAGCAATTGTCTCCCACTTTCTGGTGATAAAGAAATGTTTGAGTCTTTGAGAAAATATTCAACTTTCCCGATCCAATGCCCAGTAATGATATGTCATTTGAAGATATATATGGAAAGGAAACTGATGAAAAGCATCATCCATCACTTAAAAACAAATCTATTAACAATACTGCTGATTCTAACGATTTACAATTAAAACCAACATAACAATATGTCCACAATGTAGGTCTATGTGTTTCATGTATTGAATGTAAATAAGCCAAGAGTTTTATATTCTAAATACAAAGTCAAACAGGAAACAATTCAAAAATTGCATTCTGCAAAAGTAGTGCCACAGCTATAATCAACAGTCTCTAAAAAAGAACTTACATATTTGTCTATAGTTATAAATTCAGATACAAGCAATACGGAACAAGAACAAGAGGAAACAGTTAGAGAATTGTTTAAGGATATTTTTGTGAATGCAAAGTTGAGTTGTCAATATGAAATGGAAAAACCTTATTATTCTGCTAAATGTTTCACAGCAGTATGTTTTAATTGTGGTATTGCTGACATTGAGATTCCAAGTAGCAATGATACTTACCCGTATTGAAGTGAATGTGGATTTGAGCAAAAAAAGGAAAAGATTTGAAGTTTGGTGGTTAAGAACACCAAAAGAAAAAAGACAAAAAGGCTTAAGTGCGAAAATTTTGATTAATAAAAAAAATCCAGGCAGTTGTATAGCGAAATGGTTGCGAAATCTAATTATTTTTGTAAATAAAAATGTTAATGCAATCACGTGACAATAATAAAAAAATATTTGCGGTCCCTGACTAAAGTCACACGGGCGGCGATGAGAAACAAAAAAATTTAATTTGCTTGGCCCAATGAAATAATTTTTGGTCACGTCAACTAAATTTTTTTTTTTTTTGTTTCATTAGTCAAATTAGTTAAATCAAGCCACCTGCCAAATTTCCGTTTTAGATGAATGTTTTTTTTCCATGATGATCACGCCAAGTACTACATAAAACAATCGTTCACAAGAATGTTCGTTAAGGAAGGTAGAACGTTTTAATGAATAACCTTATTCGGTAATTTACCGTAGGGTAAACAAACTTGTATTCTAGAAAGGAAGTTTCTATTTTAAGTGAATTGTAACAATTGAACGCGCAATTTTTGTGTTTATGTTACTCTAACGATCTACTTTTTTTCAGATTAACATTACACGACCTCTTTACCACATTTTTAATGGATTGGCAAATTTTAAGTTGAACGACCTCATGAATCGTACATATGGATAAAGCCAACACGATAAAGCCAACACCAATTTATTTTTTTGTTTTTATATTTTTGGTTAGTAACAATCATTCAATATTTGTACAATTTGCTTTGCATTCGAAAAAGAATTCTATAATATACTAACAATCTATCATCCTTTCTTAATAAACTAAAAAACGATTCCATTAGGCTTAATGGCTGATGTAATGACCGATATTTACTCCCCTTAAAAAGAATTCTAGAATTTAAACATTACACGACCACTTTATTCCAAAAAGAAGACTAAAATTTGAACGAACCTTATTAATTATATTTAATATCTAAAATTACGGAACTCTATTTCAAATATAGAATTCTAGAATTTAAACATTACACGACCACTTTATTTCAAAAAGAGAACGAACCTTATTAATTATATATAGCGATAATTTTTAATATCTAAGATTACGGAACTCCTATTTCAAATATAGAAATCACAAATCTTTCTTTTCTAACATTATCCCGTTGTTCCTTATCAGTTTAATCAATAAATTCATTAATATAATAATGCCGATAATAAAATATAATATTAAAATGATTTATTTACATATATTCTGTTATAGCATTTCCACAATATTTTTGTTACACGATTATAAATACATATAATATATAGTGAATTTTTTTTTTTAGCGATTATATGGAAAATCATGGGGAGAATAATAATTGGATGAAGACATGTTACGATTGTTACGAGCATTAGTCCTTGTATTATTATTATTTCTATTATCTATATTATAAGATGTAGATGGGCGAGTATGAACAGGATAAGGAGAATGAACAGGGTTAAAATGATGAGCAGGACTAGAAGAATAAGCGGGATTAGAAGAATTAGATGATGTATAAGTAAGATTATAGTTAGAGGGATTAGAATTAGAAGAGTGAACAGAATTAGTATTTGAAGGATTCGGATTGTAAGATGCGGGTGCACCACCAATTTCTTCGTAAACGGAAGAAGTTTCACTAGAAACACTACTTAAAGGTATTTTACCACCAATATTACTTTCATTACTATACATATTACGAGCATCAACAATATCTCTAGGTTCATGATAACTATTTTGATTATCAAAAGTACTCATTGGTTCATGATTAGTACTAGGATAATTTCTATCAAAAATATTCATTGGTTCATGATTAGATGAATGAGGACTCATATCATCACTTCTTTGAGTAAAATTAGTGGGTGCATGACTTTCTGCTTCCGAATAATGTGAATATGTTACGCTATTGGTTTTAGCTTTTCTTTTTTGTTTTTTGCAAAAAAGTATTGTTAAGATGATACCGATAGCAGCCATACCAACTATTCCTCCTAATACTGATGAAATGATTATAACATCATTACTATTACTTAAAACTTTTGGAGTTGATGGATTCGTTGAAATTGATGGATCCGTTGAAATCGTTGAACTTGGTGGATTAATTGATGATGTTTGTGTATAATTCGGAATTCCGGGTGCTATAACATATTTTTCTATTATATGTAGAACTCCATCATTTAATAAAATATCTGGTTTAATTACTTTTATGTCATTCACAGAAAATACATTCTCATCATTTGAAATTTTAAGAGTAGACCCTTCTTTACTTTCTTGATTATAAGTAGGTCCTATTATTATTCCCGAAAAAATTACTCTTGGTACAACATGATAATTAATAAATCTTGTAAGTTGCGTCAGATTACTGGTAGAAAGTAATTCCTTTGGCGCTTGCAACATAGCATCATTTGATGGTGCAAATATTGTTACTCCTACAAAGTCTTCAAATGTATTTGCAAGATTTGCTCCGGTAATCACTTGCCCAAAATAATTTAAGTCGTTTATATTATTCATTGCTTTCATTGGACTTTCTGGTAATAAGATGACTGGAAAGTAAAAAAAAAAAGGAATGAAAAGTTTAGCTAAAGATCCACATTTCGCTAAAAAAAAAAAAAAAAATTTATCAAAGTATATATACAGTATAATATAATTATTTACTAACTTGAGTCTATGATGTGAATAACCCCGTTACTAGCGAGATTATCCGCGTTAACAACTTTCCCCATAATATTTCCATTACCAACGGTAATAACTCCATTATCATTTTTAATAATTAATTTTTGTTTTGCATTTGGTATTCCTAATTCTGGAGAACCGATAAGTGTCGGTTGATATTGAATCTTATTAAAATCACTTGATTTCGCTTCAATTGGTATAATATGATATCTTAATATATTATTAATAGCTTCTGGATTTAATTTTCCTATTTTTCCAAATGCTTGATCTGATGGTGCAAAAATAGTATATTTCGCTCCTTTACCTATATCTGTATTTTCAATAACCGGAAGATTTGTCGCTAAATTCGTTACTGCGGTAAAAAATAATAAATTCGGATTATTTTGTATATTTTGTAAAATATTTAAATTAATATTTTGTGCATGACTTAATCCTATTATTAAAAAAATTATAAGATAATTTATTATTTTGAACATTTTTTGTTTTTATGTTATTTTAAACAACAAATGAAATGTTTTTTTTTTTTCCTTCCGGTCCTACTATTTATGCAAAAAACTACAAAATGAATTTATTAATTTGGGACATCTGTTTGACAAAGGATTAGCTGATAAACCAAATAATAATAATAAAGTTTGATATTTTGTTTGTGTAACGTGTACATAAAAACCAAAAGATAATCATTTATTAAAATCATTCATCACCTACTTAATCAGTAAACTTGAATCGGAGAAATTTCTCCTACTATAAACAATTTTTATGAAAAATAAAAAATGTATTATCATAAATTAAATAAGAATTATTATTATTGCTTTGTAAATAACTTTTATAATACAAATATAAATACAGTATTTAATTATAAACTTTTTCCATTAAATCCAACAAGTTTGTCGGAGAAATACATACTCCATGATAAGGGATCTGAAAAAGATTTTACAGCCCACATAATGTTATTAGGAGTACCACCTAATGCTCCATAATTTCCGGTTGGTATTCCCCAAGTATCATGTTGTACCCCATTTTCATCATAAACAAGACAATCTAATCCAACATTTTGGGAATATACCCCGATACACCAACCTCCATTATTCAGATTAAGTGTTGCAGGAGTTTTAGCATCAGGTGCATGTTGTATATCAAATTCAAATGGAACCGTGGATAATTGTTCACCCGTCGCTGAAAATGTAATCGCAACAAATTTTGTATATGAATTTAATCCGTTCGATTTAATTGAAAGCAAGCATTTATATCCACCACTGCCACCTTCTATAGGATTACATGCTTGAATTTGAAATTCTACTTCTAAGAGTTGATTATTTTGAATGTTTTGATAGATAGGATAAGGTCCACTAATAAGTGTTGCATCTGTTAAAAAATAAGCGAATAATTCAATTGGTGGATTATAAACATTATTTTTTGGATTTGGTTTCCCAGCAAATGATCCCATAATTATAGAATATTGTGATGGTCCAGCTGCAAATACTTTAAATAATCCTCCACCAAAGCTTTCTGACTCTAACTTATTTGGTACTGTCACGTTTGATATTGATCCGCCATAGGCTTTATTAAATTCAGCACCATCTGTTGTCCAACTTTCCCATATTATTGATGAATCAACATCATGATAACATAAATACAGGAATCCATTTGGACCTTGTACTGCATTTGTCTCATCACAATTACCCTCAAGTTCAATATTCTTTACTAAATGGTTGATATTTTTTATTGAATATATATCCCCACAAAATTTTCCTCCACATGGATAATATATTAAAACAAATTCGTTATAAAATGTTAGAACTTTTATTTTATCATTAGCAGCTTTGGGTCCTTCTGATTTTGGTGCTGGTGATGGTGATGGTGTTGATGACGGTGCTGATGCTGGTGATGATGATGGTGACGGTGCTGGTGCTGGTGATGATGATGGTTCCGGCGCTGGTGTTGGTCCTTCGGGTGATTTGCCTCCTTTTGGACTATCTGGACTAGCTGGATTAGCTGAACTAGCTGGACTTGTTGATTTACTTGATTTAGCTGGATATGGATTATTAATTATCATATGACTAAGTTAATTAATCCATAATACATACGGCAAAAAAATTAAAGAAAATAATAACAAACGTTACCTTCAGAGTGAACTGTAGTAGTAGGAGTTCTTTTATGAAAAACTCTTCTCATTGATTTATCCCGTTTATAATTGTCATAAAATATATACCATCTTTTTCTTTTCGAAGGTGTTGGAGGACAAAAATTATCCTGAGGTATTCTAGCATTGCCATCATCACCTTTAATAAAATAAGGAAAATTACTATTATTTGAATAATCAATTATCTTTTATCATTTACTATAATGAAAGAAGAAATTATCAATTATTTACCTAAATCCAATGAATATACCGTTGCCCCTTGACCAGGTATAACGGTACGAAAAGAAATTTTTGGTTCATTACAGATACCATTGGTGTAATCCAATCGAACCGCGCGCAAGACAATTGTATTGTCTGTAAATTGGGAACCAGTATCAATTAAATTAAATCCGACGGTACTTTCTTGGATAGTTGTATTTGTTAATTCAGCGGTGCATTCATTCAAATAATATATTATGATATGGACTAGTATAAGCAAGAGCGGCTTATTTGTCGTTTTCATTTTTTATTCACAGATATAAAAAAGAATAAAAAAATAAATAAAAACGAGGTTAAATATTTCTTTTTTTATAAAATAACTGTATTTATAGAAAAAAAAAAAAAAAAATACGCCAAAAAGCCAAAACTTTATTTTTAAAATTTTATTTTTGTAAAATTACTAATTTGGTATAATATAAATTTTTAAAGTGGGATCATTTTAAGGAAATTTTGTATAATTTATATAATTTATACATTTTTAATTTATTGTAATACGGTACATAATTTTTACTAAAACTAACGATCTTCATTGTTCTAGAAATGTGAAATATGTAAATAGTCGTGAATAATATGTACGATGGTGAGAAATAAGGAGCAAAAAAGAACAAAATAAAATAAATAAAAAGATCTCACATATATGCAGCTGTTTATGATGATAATATTAATGAACTTTAAAAACGTGAATGAATGTATATTAAAAATCGCGTTGTGTAACGAAATTTCGGACTTACAACTCCATGACATGATCAGATGAGATGTTTATTATCTTATTCATTGTATACAATTCTATTACTGTATAATACATTATATTCTAATTATTGGATGAGCGACATCCATATCGGTCCACTAGGATCGACATTTTCATCATATACTTTATTTAACATGTAAAATTTATAATTATATAAAATAATAATAATATAATTTTATTTATGATAAAATAAAAAAAATACATTTTAAAAAAAAAAATTTAATAGATATGAACTAATTATTTATTCGGAACATTTGGTTTGAAGCCTGTTACTTGATCAGTAGATATAATTTCCCATGATAATGGGTTTGTAAATTGTGGGATTGCCCACATCATATTATCGGGTTGATTACCAACTTTTGAATAATCACCAACAGGTATTCCCCAAGAACCATGATAACCTCCTTGTTCATCATAAGCAAGGCAGTCCAACCCTTTCAAACCTACTACGCCAATACACCAACCTCCATAATTTAAATTAAGACTTGCGGGAGTCTTTGTCCCTGTTATTTCAAATTGCACGGTACCTGTAGGCTCACCATTTGCTGAAAATGAAATTGCAACAAAATTTGTTTTTGAATCTGTCTCATTTATCCTATATGAAATTAAACATTTATATCCTTCACCACCTACTTCAGCATTACAAACCTGTATTAAAAATTGTATCGTACCACCAAAATTCTCACCATTTTGATAAATAGGAAATGGACCACTAATAATAACTACGTCAGTTATGAAATACGCAAATAATTGGACCGGCGTATTATAAATTTGACTATTTGGATCTGGTTTGCCAGGAAATGATCCCATAACGATTGAATATTTTGATGGTCCAGTTGAAAAAACTTTAAAAAGTCCTCCACCAAAATTTTCTGCCTCAATTTCATTTGGTACTGTCACATTCGATATCTTTCCTTCATAAACTTTATTAAATTCAATTCCATTTGTTTTCCAACTTTCCCATGAAATTGATGAATCTACATCATGATAACATAAATACAGGAATCCATCCGGACCCTGTACTGCACTTGTCTCGTCACAGTTACCCGTAAAAGATACTGACTTTACTAAATTTTTGATATTTTTTATTGAATATATGTCCCCACAAACTTGTACTCCACATGGATAATATATAAGAACAAATTCATTGTAGAATGTGAGAATCTTTATTTTATCGTTAACAGCTTTGGGAGTAGGTGCTGGTGCTGGTGCTGGTGCTGGCTCTGGTGTTGGATCCTTACCACTTGATGGTGTTGGATTCTTTGAATCTGGTGGACCTGCTGATGGACTTGCTGGAGCACCTATACAATAATAATTATAGTAACAAAGTTAATATATGAAGTGATAGATATGTATTAATAAAATTTTACACGAAATCTAGAATATAGCAAAGTAAATTTAAAATTGTATTTACCCTTAGGAGAAGGATGAGGAGGATGATGAGAAGTATGATGGGGAGGATGGTGATCATCGGAATGATGACCATGACCATGTTTGTGATGGCCATGGCTATGTTTGTGATGGTCATGGTCATGATGGTCATGATGGTCATGTGGAGGGGATCTCTTGTGTATACGGCGACGTTCATGAAGTATATAATTATCGTCGAATATGTACAATTTCCGCTTTTTTGGTGATGGTGATTTACAAAAATTGTCAGGAGGTATTCTGGTATTGCCATCTTCCGCTTTAATAAACAAAGAGAGAAAATTTTTTAACCTATTTAGAAGTCATGGGAAAAAAGAAAAAAAGAGGTGCCAAAATATTTACCCAGATCCAACACCGATATCGTAGTTTGCCCTGCTATAAAAGATCGAAACAAAATCGCCGGTTCATTACAGTTAATGTTATTAGGGTCTACCCGAGCTAAGCGTAGAACATTCGTATTATCAGGGAATGGTTGATTCTCGCTTAGAATACCCAAGCCAACAGTGCTTTCTTGAATTGAAGAATAATATAGTGCTGCATGTGCAAATTTTATAAAATAAATTAATAGAATATGAGGTATGAATAACAAAAGCATTTTTTTTTAAAAAAAAAAATAATAATAAATAAATAAAAATAAAAATGCTCCATTAAATATATGCGTATATTTATAAAAAATTTTCGCACTGTAAAGTCAAGTAAACACTTATTTTTTGATTAGATTATTTGATTATCTTTTGTATTTTGAAGGATAAGCCATTTCTTAAACGGTATTTCATTTGTAAAATTTATACAAATTCCCATAAATGTTTTCTCATTTAAAAACAATTTTTGGCGTGTTAATGTGAAGAAAGATACGGAACATAGTAATTGTAATAGATATAAGATTTACCAAACTTATTTCATTATATTGTTTTTAAATGGGTAGATTAAATAATTTTTACAATATAAAAAAAAAAAAATTAGTTCTAGCTTAAATTAATCCATTTTTGTATAAATGTTCATTTAAATGAAACCATATCGGTTACATAACTATAAAACAATATTTTAAAATAATTTTCAATCGTAAAAACCATTAAATTCGTTAACCTTCTATAATTATAGAATTATTACTTTTAAAGTATTTCCTTTTTAATCGAAAGGCTAATTGTCCCACTAACCACTAAATCTGCGCTTTGGATGGATGCCATGATTCATTTCTATCACATCGTGTGCACAATTAATTTTATTAATTTCGGTAATGTGATGAGAAAGTATTGTTACAAAGCAATTATTTTAGTAAAGGACAGAATTATTATTTTACCATATTGATGAATTCCATATATACCCTTGTACTGAAAATGTACAGTTGACTTAAAATGATTAATCAAGATTTATATCAGGTTCTTGGAAAAAGAGGAAGGCAGAAAAAACAAAGTTACCGAAGGTGAAAGATAAAATAAACATAATTACAAGTTTAGGATTAATAGCGGGAATGGTAGCCAACCTGATAGATAAAGCAGCCATAAAATACCAATAATTTTTCTCAACTACTCTTGGACTTATGTCATGACATCACATTCCCCATGGCGTTTAGAAATTTATCTCAAAACTGCATTTAATAGAATTTTTTTTTAAAAAAAATCTTACCCTAATTTTAAGCTATAGAGTTCCAAAATGGGTCAGGTCAGGTCAGGTTAATGACCTGAAATTTTTTCAGGTTAGATTATATCAGATTATCTGTTTGACCTGACCTGATCTGCAATCTGAATACATTATGCTTTATACATAAATTTATGGCAAAATTCATCTGCTAATAAAATATTCATTAGAAAGAAAAGAAAATTTTACATATTCTTTTAAATATAATATTAAAATTTAGACTTCGAAAACTAAAATATTACGGCCGGAATTATGTGATCGGCATAGAAATTTCCTGTTTTGGAATACTTGTGAAACCAAATCCACCCAATTTTTGCGGGAGGCAAAATTTCCTTTTTTAGAAGTTTGTGTAACGTCACGTGATAATTGGCCAATGGGAGAAATGTTACACAAGTATTTGGGATTTGGGATGGGATTTGGGATTGGGATTTGGGATGGGATGGGATATGGGATGGGAGGGGAGGGGAGGGGAGGAGATGGGAGGGGATTTTAAATGGGCGGCAAGTATAGTTAGGAGCACNAAATATTATGATGTGTAAACTTGCGCAACTTTTCGCACTATATAATTTCCTGATGGTGGGCGTTATGTTTAGATTAACCATATAAATAAGTCATTTGAATTGTGTAACCCTACTCCTACTCCTATTTGTCGCCAATGTTACACAAGACCAAAAGGAAATTTTATTTCTGGCGAAAAACTGAAATTTTGGGTTACACAGGATTCCATAAAAGGAAATTGTCGGTTACGCAAATTTCCAAAAAAAGGAAATTTTGTCTTCTGTTACTTTCAAAGAAATTAAAAAAATTGGGTTGCTCAAATTTCCAAAAAAGGAAATTCTTTGCAGATCTTTTAATTCTGGCTGGAATTACATATTAACTGTTGTCGTAGACAACAGATGAACACTAGTATAATTTATTTTGATTAATTTACATATTTAAGATTAATTTGCCATACTTTAAAAATATTTAAAAATCCAAAAACTAAAACTGGAAATTTTATTACATCATATGATTATGCTAACTTTGAATTAAATATTCTCTCATACAACTTTGCAAAATTCTTTTTCTTTAACCTATCAAAATTTAGTAATAATAACCGAGATTCTTTTGAATTCGAATTGTTAAATTTTAAAAAAAAATGTGTAGTGAAAAAATTTTTTTTAGGTTTATCCACAGATATGCGAATAATTTGCAGATTTCTTCTTATCGGATTCTCCCCAACGATGTACAAATCAAGGTTGAATCTAATAAGTCCATCCCCCAAAAATAATTTTTTTTATTTTATTATTAATAACCAAATATTTTTTTTTCTTTTTGATTCACGGATATTCATACCTGTAAATTAAACATGGGTATCGAAACTCCTAAGAGCATTTCCGAATGTTTTGGGTTTCGGTATATACGAATCAAAACTCAACCCGTAACCTAAACTTCTACCGAAACTCGAAACAACTTCCGATATTCTGAAACCTATCCCGATATCTCGAAACCAGCATTACCCAATTAAATTGCTTAAACAACTGTGCCATACGTCATATTGACGAAATCACGTGCTCAATAATCATCAAGAAATTCGTAATACCCGACGCTATGTGAGGATTGAGGAATATAATGGAGTGAACAAATTCTACCCTAATAGTTATATAGTTAATTTGGATTTTAATGTTAGGAATAATTTAATAGTGAACAAACTATTAGAAATTGAACTTGATACCTTTATTTAAGATTTACTGTAAGGAAAACTAATAAAAATTTTGGGCATATTTCAGTTTCGGGTCGGGATTCGGGAATCGGAAAAATATATGCATTTCTGAAACTCTATTTCGTATATACCGAAACCGACAGAGTTTCGGGAAGTTTCGGTTTCGTTACCCATGTTTACTGTAAATGAACTCTCTCATGAATCTAGCAGATTTGATCCGGATTTATTTAGATGATATTTATTCGCAGTGAGCTTCAATAGAGGCATTGAATTCAGATGAAATTCTGCCAAATTTATTATGGCAGGTTCCTAAGTCTCGTGGCATAGCCAGCATCACGTTGAATATTCAAAAGTTTGTTTGTTGGCATAAATAAAATGTGAATAAAATTCATAATCAGAGTTATACAAAAGAAAATAAAAATTTTATTAATACAATAATAGCTTCCCGTGTATACGCTAATATACAAGTGCCTTACGGCTGATTATTTCTTAACAGTAAATAAATTTTTTCATCTTACATTAAAAAACACAAGCCGGATGCAGTCAATAATAATTTTTTATTAAGATTTATTGATAAATACCTTTTACATACAATATACAAGTCCTATAGGTTTCCATTAATATAAAGCAACTTTGATCATTAATCTGAATAATTTTTTTTATGCTCTAATTAATAATTCATCTATCCATCTTACAGTATATTATGTTAAATTTACATTTATCCACCTTACAGTATATTATATTAAATTTACATCAACAAGAATTATTTGATATGAACCAACTTGAAACATTAAAGAAAGAATTTACATGGCTTGAAAATAGTAACCAAATGGAAAAGTAACATAAAAAAGTAACTAGATTATAATATATAATCGTTACAATTTCCGTGTTTTAGATAATTCTCCAGGAATTTCTACTCTGTAACGGTCACCACTTGGATATACAACTATAAATCCTTTAGTATTTGAAAATTCCTCAAGGAATTTGCCGCAAATAACCCCAACATATGATTTTCCCTATAAAAAATATTTTTGCTAAAATATACTTAAAATATACTTAAAATTTTATTTTATACTTAAAATATATTTAAAATTTTATTTTATACTTAAAATATACTGAAATAGGCAAAAATTAAATATCATTTAAGTATAATTTAAGTATATAATAATATACTTAAAATATTCTTATTTTAAATATCCTTAAAATATACTGAAATGGGCAAAATTTAAATGTAAATTAAATATATTTTAAGTATATATTAAATACAATTTAATTTAAATTTTGCGAAAATTCAATTTTCAGTATATTTTAAGTATAAAATAAGAAAATTAAGTATATTTTAAAGAAAATTAAATATATTTTAAAGAAAATTAAATATATTTTAAATATATTTTAAGTAAAATTTTTTTTTATAGGGTTTCCTGATAATTGTAAAAATTCTTGATCTGATTCTATTGCAATTTTAAGCTTTTTTGGAAATTCACTTAATCTTTTGGTAAAACTTTCTATGTATTTCTAAGAATGCCAAATTTGTCAACCAACAAATTCATGGGATATTTATAAAAATAAATGAAGTCATACTTACTTTTAACACATTATGTTTACACTCAATTAAAAATACCTTGTCATCACAAATGATAATTCCATCAAATTCAATTATTGGTATTTTTTTTTGAATCAAGCAATATTTGTTTGTTGAAGATTTTTAAAAAAGGCGTCCATATATTTTCGTGGAGAGCCTTTTCTATCGCTAGTAAAGTTTTTTTTTCCATTGCTTGATCTTCTATTTGTAACCAAGTTATTCCCTTTCTAATATATGTAAGGTGAGTACTGATTCTGTAGTAATTCTTGATACTGATATCTCCTAATGACATAATTACCATTGGTTTTTCATCAGAAGCATCAATGTATACTAGACCTTTTGCCTCTACTCTTTTCAAAAAGGAACTAAATTCATTTTGGTCATGCATCAAATATTCTTCAAATCTGTCTGAAAGCTCCCTTCATTATTATACTTTTATACATATAAAAGGGTTCCTTTTGATATGACTGGAAACAAAATAATTGTGAGTAATAAGATTAGTGTGCAGAAACAATAAAGATTATGCAAATGAAATCTGAAGACACGTGATAAAGAACAAAAAAAAGGTCAGTTAAGCGTTACATTCGTGAGGAGACCAAAAAGGCATAGTTAGTTACTGGAACAGACATGTTATGCATTATGACCAATCAATATGGTGCAAAGGCTTACCAGTATTAACTATAATTCGAATATTGTCTCCTGTGTCATCAGTAAAAACTTTTTCAACCTTTTCAGTATCGTTTTTTAATTTCTCATCCAAACTTTCATCAAGAGAAATATTTCTATTATTTTTGAGATTAGTTTTTCAAAGCATAAGATATATAACCTTTACATTAAAAATTTTTTCTGCAATAATTTCTTTAAGATCAAAAATATTATTGCCTACTCCAGTGGTAACTTTGAAAATAAATTTATCATTTCTAGTAATGCACCAGAGTGTTTTTCGCATACTAATAATTTCAACAGTAGACATTTTGAAAGAAGATAGGAAAAAAAGAAAGACAAAAAAAATGGAATAAAAATTATTTAATCTATCATATCATGACTCAAGCTTTTTTATACTCATATCAAAAATTTTTATTATAAATGGTTTTTAAAAAAAAGTTCAGTAAATCGAGAGTTCATTATATCATGAGTTTGTTATATCGAGATTTGACTGTATTTTTATCTCTTGCTAACTTCGAAATTACTCATTTTGAAAAGTTCTCTTGCGAAACTTAATCCTTTATGGATTGTGTAATAGTTGGAATAATTTCCAAAAAATAATATGGCTCATGAAAAATTTACTACAAATCATGTATTGAAAAAATAAAATTCATGTTTATAATAAAAAGCATGAGAATATAATATGCATTTTTTTATTTATAATAACATTATTAATGACATTATAGACTAGCTATACCAATGAAATGGAGAATAATTTCTATAACCTCTTTTGTTTTTTTCTTGATCCATCTCTTACTTCCTCTGATTTCTCATTTACCTTCTTTTTTCTTATCATGATGTCTTTTAACGTATCTAAAAATTGAAGATGTTTTCCTTGAAAAACCTTCGATGCATTTTTATGATCGACATCAGGAGGATAAAATAAGCGTAGATTTACAAAATAATACACGTGTGAAAAATTACGCAAATCTACACCACTCGTGACGATATATGAGTGTGAAAATTTTAGAGAAATTTTCAATAGTATAAAATAGTGTATTTTTGAAAATGACGTAGTTTTTTAGTAGTAAAAAATAATGTAGTTACCTTAACAGTAAAAATAATGAAATTTTCCTTTTTATAACCCCTCATGTATTTTTCTGATATTTTCTTACAACTTTGTTGTTTTTTTTACTTACACTAAGAGTCAAACTGATATTAATTATATTTTTATTTATTTTTTTTTTGCCTACACTAAGAGTCGAACTGAATACCTCAAGATAAATTATTAATATATTAAGTCTCGTTACCTAACCACTACACTATTTATTCTTTTTTTTAATTATTAACATTATATTTTATATTTATCTTAGAATAAAGACATGCTTAAACCTTTGTATTTATTTTATATGATTTTAGTATCGTGTATTTGTGCAAATTTTTAAAGTGTATTACCAAATTACCTATTTGTGCAAATTTTTACACAACTTTCTTCAGATACAAAGTTTTTAAAATATTTTTAAACTGTATTTTGACATGCAGTTTATTTAAATTACATATTTACGCAAATTTTTAAAGTGTATAATACTGAAGCTAACTATTTATGTAAATTTTACACAACTTTTTTAGATATAAACTTATTCAAAATATTTTAAGCTACATTTTTATGTGTAGCTTATACAAAATCATGTATTTATGCAAATTTTTAAAGCGTAAATTACTGAAACTACCTACTTGCGTAGAATTTACGAAACTTTTTAAGATACAAAATCAATAAAGTATTTTTCAAATTATTTTTATGTGTAGATTACTTAAAATCGAATATTTAAGAAATTATTTTGGGATGCAAAACTTCGAAACTACCTATTCATGAATAATTTATGGCACTTTTTAAGATATGCCTTATTAAATACTTTGCTGAAACTTGGAGTTTACAATCGATATTGATTAGATATCGCAATGATATCATTACGATATCATTACGATATTTTGATAAAAAATAGATTTNTTGTGTATAGAACTGGGAGAACCCCAGTATAAATAAGAGCACACTGGGAGGACCCAGTATAAATAAGCCTTTGTTGGTGATCATATTAGTCTGACACTGGGCGGCCCCAGTTATAAATAATCTCTAGCTTTGATCACAGTTTATTTGCGCAAGATATAGAAAGTTTATAAATAAAATCGCGATTATAGATTATATTATAAAATGTATAGAGAAATTATAGAATCAAAGCTGGAACTTTGAAAATATTAGAATTTTAATTGTATTTTAAAGAAGTAAAAGATAAATAGTAATTTAAATGATGTTAAATTAATGATAAAATTTTATAAAATATAAATAAAAGTAAAATTATGAAATGTTTAAATAAATAAAAAATGTCTGATATATACGATGAATTAGAAGAGATTAAAAGAAGACATGAAATAGAGAAACATAATGAATTGAAAGAAGAATATCAAGTAGACCCTTCATGTCTAAAATGTTATAATATTAATGAAATAGAAATAGGAGATTGGTTTAAAAGATTTTGGAAAATTTTTCAAAAAGTAATACTGGAAGCAATGAGTTATAATAGAAACACGTATACAAAATTAATGGAATACATAGTATTGACAAGAAAAGATGGAGAAGAAAATTATCCATCTAGTAAAAAGAAAAGAAATAAAGAATTCGAGAAAATAAGAAAAGAAGGAGAAAAACTGTTAGATATAGTCGTAAGGTCAATTAGGTATAGAAATAAATCAGATTATAGAAAAGTAGGAATTATATCAGTAATAAAAGTGATAAGTGAACATTATATACTTAGTGAAGATAATGAGTTCATATTAGATGATCAAACAGAGGAGAATTTGTTAGGGAATAAAGAATTGTTGACGTATAGATATATTATAGAAGATGATGAATTAGATATAAGATTTGCAAAATTTAAAGAATGGTTGGAAGAAATAGAATTAATAACTATTAAGAATAAAGGATATAATACTATGAGAACTTTTAAAGAAATATTACATTTAGAAGAAAATATTGCAGAAGAAGAAAATAGAGAAAAAATCAAGAAGTTTCAGAAAAGTATAACATATCAATGGTGGGATAGAAATAAATATCCAAAACCATGGATGAACGATGATTTAACAGATAGGATAATAGAGAAAATTGTAGAAACAAAAGGTTTTGTTGAAGAACAAAGTGACATAGGAGAACTAGAAAGTTCAGATGACGTGGGAGAATCAAGTTCAAATGAAGGAGACGAACATATAGAAAGAATATACAGAAATTATTGGTTAGAGAATGGTTATGAAATTGATATTGAAGAAATAAGACGAATAATAAATTTTGGAGTAGAATATGAAATAATAAAAACTAAAGAATTTATGAGTTTTTACAAAACTATTGAAGAATTAGATGATAAAGGAATAGAAGAAGAATTACATCAGGAGGATAAAATAAGCGTAGATCTACAAAATAATACACGTGTGAAAAACTACGCAAATCTACACCACTCTCGACGATATACGAGTGTGAAAATTTTAGAGAAATTTTCAATAGTATAAAATAGTGTATTTTTGAAAATGACGTAGTTTTTTAGTAGTAAAAAATAATGTAGTTACCTTAACAGTAAAAATAATGAAATTTTCCTTTTTATAACCCCTCGTGTATTTTTCTGATATTTTCTTACAACTTTGTTGTTTTTTTTACTTACACTAAGAGTCGAACTGATATTAATTATATTTTTATTTATTTTTTTTTTGCTTACACTAAGAGTCGAACTGAATACCTCAAGATAAATTATTAATATATTAAGTCTCGTTACCTAACCACTACACTATTTATTCTTTTTTTTAAATATTAACATTATATTTTATATTTATCTTAGAATAAAGACATACTTAAACCTTTGTATTTATTTATATGATTTTAGTATCGTGTATTTGTGCAAATTTTTAAAGTGTATTACCAAATTACCTATTTGTGCAAATTTTTACACAACTTTCTTCAGATACAAAGTTTTTAAAATATTTTTAAACTGTATTTTGACATGCAGTTTATTTAAATTACATATTTACGCAAATTTTTAAAGTGTATAATACTGAAGCTAACTATTTATGTAAATTTTACACAACTTTTTTAGATACAAACTTATTCAAAATATTTTAAGCTACATTTTCATGTGTAGCTTATACAAAATCATGTATTTATGCAAATTTCTAAAGCGTAAATTACTGAAACTACCTACTTGCGTAGAATTTACGAAACTTTTTAAGATACAAAATCAATAAAGTATTTTTCAAATTATTTTTATGTGTAGATTACTTAAAATCGAATATTTAAGAAATTATTTTGGGATGCAAAACTTCGAAACTACCTATTCATGAATAATTTATAGCACTTTTTTAAGATATGCCTTATTAAATAACTATGTTTCAAGTGTAATTTATGCAAAACCGTATATTTATAGATTTTTACGGGGTGTAAATTTCCAGAGATTATACATATTTGACAACTTTACGCTAATATTCGCCTCATATAATCTCCTGATGTAAGAATATGGCATTATATGTATACAATAGAATGTCCAACGTATAATAAAATAATATTAAAGAAAAAAGCAATAGAAGCAGTAGAATAAAATAAAGAATTTATAGAAAAGATATGTAAAAGTTGTTATGAAAAAGGACCAGAAAATTTAGAAGATGAGAATAAATTAGATGATGAAACAGAAATAGAGAAAAGATTAGAACGGTTAAAAAATTTAATCAAAGTTTTAGAAATTGAAGTTTCCGATGGAGAATTATTAAGATTAATAAGTATGGAATATAGAGATGTTGATATATTAAGTGCAGACTTTATAAGAAAATTTCAAGAATATAAAAATGAATCAGAAAAAGAAATAA